TTTTTGGTTTATTTAACCACTATACTACCTGGGTTCCTTAATCTATTTATGAAGGATCATATGAACGTGAATAAATTTACTTCCCTTTCCACGTGTCAGTTCTTTGAACACTTAAGTTGTATGACAATCTTGGGTTTACTCAGTTGCCTGCCCTGCTAAAAGGCAACCAAAGCAACCATCTTCAAAACAGAGACTCTATCTAGCCATTAAGCTAATCCTAAAAAGACCTGGATTACAAGACCTTTTGAGTGCCTATGTAACCTCTAATCCCTATAGTGGTCCTTCTGGATTGATGTTACTACTTCACTACCATTTCAAACTCTGAAGGACTGACTTCACAACTAACATAACTGGTAAGTAGTGGAACTTACGATGAATTCTAGATTGGTCTCATTCCTATACTTAAGTTTTATCGTCCTAGTAAACTTCCTCTGGGCATATCTCAATTTGTCAGTCTCTATGTGTGTGTCAAAGGAGCTCTGTTGGCATAGCGGTTATTTGTTGGGCTGCTAACTGCAAGGTCAGGAGTTCTATAAAGAGTTACAGTATCAGAAGCCCACAGGGGCAACCCTCCCCTGTCCTCTAGGGCTGCTATGAGTAGGAATCAACTCAACTGCAATGAGTTTGGTTTGGGTATGTGTACCAACCATATACTAGAAAGTCTTCGACAGAAGTAGCACCAGGCAGTCTCATACTCTACTTAACCAGCCAAATTTGTGTGGGCTTTATTGACAAATGTGGCATACTGTTGGCTTAAATGGAGCTTAGGGTCAATTAGGATCCATCCCTTCTACTACCAAATTGTTTTGCAATGAATTGTTCTCAAGATCCCACTCAAAGCCAAACCAGTGAGTCAATTCTGACTTACAGGGGCACTATGGGACACAGTAGAACTGCTCCCACAGAGGTTCCAAGACTAAAGCTTTCTGGGAGCAGACTGCACACCTTTCTCTCATAGAGCAGATGATAGGGTCAACGTTCTTTCTGTTTAGCCTCTGAGCACCTCGCCATTGCATCATCTGTGCTCCATTATCAAGTCAAGTCTCCTTAATTCTATACTTGGGTAATTAAGCTTGATCCTTCTCACCCCACCCCCACCCCCACCCCCACCACCACAGGATTTGATATTTGTCTCTGTACTTTTCAGCTGAACATTCTGGTCTCGGGATCATTTACAAACTTGGTTCTGTCATCTGATGTTACTAGTGCTCCTTTCAAGCTCTGTGTCATCTGCAAATATGACAAGCATGCTTTCTATATCTTCATCCATGTTACTGGGAAAAATGGTTACAGCGAAGAAGGACTTAAAACTGTGGCATGTTCCTGACACTCCCCCACCCCCCCATCTTCCTCTCCTTGGTCCAACTATCCTTTAGAAAATTAAATGAAACAAATACTCTTCAACGTGCAAGTTATTTGGGGCAATACAGGAAAAAAACGAGGCAGGGCTCCTTGCTCTTAAGGAGGTTAATTTAGTAAGGCAGCTAGCACATACCCAAACGACTGTAGCACACAGTGCCAAGAGCTAAGCGCTCAGCAGCAGAAGATCAGACAGACAAGCTGCACAGAGTGGTTGTCTCTAGGGAAGGTGACGGGAAGCCTGGGGAATGGAATAGGAGGGAAATGGATTTCTCACTGTATATTTTGTGCAATTCAAAAGTAAAAGGGGGGCCAGATTATACAGAGCAGCGATTCTTAACCTGTGGGTCATGGCCCCTTTGGGGGGGTTGAAACACCCTTTCACAGGGATCACCCGAGTCATAACAGTATCAAAATTACAGTTATAAAGTAGCAACAAAAATAATTTTATGGTTGGGGGGTCAGCACAAGAGGAGTTGTATTAAAGGGTCGCGGCATTAGAAAGGATGAGAACTACTGATACAGAGAGATGTCTTAGGCACAGGTTGGAACAATCTATTTCTTCCAACCCAAAGACTTTATGAGCAAAAAAAAGTACTGCAGGAGAACAACATCCTGTACATAAAGTTGTATAACCACATCAACTCCACCTCCTATTTGATCAGGCAGACCATATTTTTCCATCTTATTTTTGAATCTTAAGGACTTCATGAGAGATCTTATCAAGTGCCTTGCTGACATCCAATCTTAAAAGGTTGGCCCTCAGAGATTACAGAATCCTTGAAAGC